TGTGGTCTTCTCTGTGGATTGGCTGCTGTGAGCGGAAATATGTCCTCAAGGCTTCCTCTTTCTCACTGCGCCTGACCTTGACTGAGCTTGAGGGCCTTTGTGAGGGACTAGTCTCTCCTGACAACATGTCCAAAGTGCTTGAGACAAGATCTTGCCATTCTGACCTCTAGGGAACATTCTGAGTATACTTCTTCAAGACAGATCTGTTTTGTCCTTTGGCAGTCGATGGGACGGTCAGTATTCTTCACCAGAACTATCATTCCGATGCATCAGCCCTTCTTAGCGCCCAACGTTACATGCACTCGAGGCAATTAAAAATACCATGGCTTCAGTCAGGCATACCTGACCTCAAAGTCACCTCCTTGCTTTTCAACACTTTAAAGAGGTCTTGTGCAGCAGATTTACCCAATACAATGCTCCATTTAATATTCGGATTAGTGTGGGTGAATAGCAAGGAATCTTGTTACCTTAAATAAGAAAACCAAACATTTTTTAATGAGCCGAGTGCTGCTTGAAGCAATTTCATCTACTAATCTATTTAACATCAATAACCTCCCTTTGAGGGAGTGTCTGCCTATCTCTTATTTCACAGGTGAAGAAATTAAGACAACAGAGAGGTGAACTAACTCAACCAAGATTGTCCAGCTAATAAAAGGGTGAGCCAGAATTCTCACTCTGGCTTCATATTTTGTGCTTATAATCACTCCAGGTTCTTCACTCAATCCTTTACCTGTGTACAAAATAACTCTCCAATTACTTAATTATGTCACCTATACTCATGGAATCACATTTGCGTGTTAGCCCAGAGACTACTTGATCTTGACTCCAGGTAGTAAAACTAAAAACCAAACCTACTGCCGTCAAGTCATTTTAGATTCATAGACTGTAAGTCTTTATGGGAGTAGAATGTTTCATCTTTCTCCCACAGAGAGCCTGGCGGATTTGAACCACTGACCTTGCAGTTAGCAGTCCAATGCTTCTTGACCCAGCAACACTCGCAGAAACAAAAAAAGCAAACTCACTGCCATGAGTCAGTACTGATTCATTGCAACCCTAGAGAACAGAGTAGAACTTGGCCCTGTGGGTTTCTGAGACTGAAACTCTTTACGGGATTAGAAAACCAAGTCTTTCTCCCTTGGAGCGACGGGTGGTTTCGAAGTGCCGACCTTGTGGTTAGCAGGAAACCTACTTTCAAGTCTTAAGCGCTACCATTACCTGGCAATTTTCTCTAAGCTAATGCATTCTGATTCAGTAATTTGAGATATCAGTACCTATGTGATACACTGCGCCTGACACTTAGCATAACTGGGAGGCATAAAGCACCGCTCACGGGAGCAGTTGTTGGGACAGAGAACCCATGAAATGAACCTTGTCTCCTCACGACGTAGCCACCATGAATAATATCCGTAAGGCCTTGCTAAATGAGTGAGTGATTCTGCTTTGGAGGTGAAGAAAGTTCAAAGGTTCTTGATGCTAATGAAAGTACTATTGGGGGAAAGAGCAGGCTTTATACTTCCATAAACAGTCTGTCTTGCCCTACTCCATCATAGGGCCGCTGTGAGTCGAATCGACTGGAGGGGGTTTGAGTCCCTCCTAGGTACAATTTTTAATGTCTTATGCCAGTCAAACAGATACAAAGTTATGAAGAGAGAAACCACAGCCGGTATGTTTATCTAGTTCAAGAGGCGGATCCCTATTTGTGACAGGAAAACAATTTAAAGCCACTTGGATCTGTACTTTGTCACCCAAAGAACATTTCTGAAAAACATTTTAATGACAGTAAGTTGTGTATTCAGAGACAAAAATAATCTGACCCTTTTCCCCATGAACAAAGTTACGCCACCCAGGCCCTTGCCCCAGCAAATACAATCCTATCTTCCCTCCTGTGTCTCCACCAGGCCATCTCTCTCCTGTCCTGAAAGGTCTGTGGCCCTGCCCATGCTGCCCTGCGCTTCATCCCCAGTTCAAACCTCTCCCTCCCCAGTGCTGCTGGGCAGTGGCACGCCCCCGCAGGTGGCATTCTCTGTGGGATGCTGTTTTCTGGTCTTCTCAGTGGATTGACTGCTTTTAGAGCAGGCCTGCTTCCCAATCTGTCTCCCCTCCTCTTTAACGTAATGTTGTATCCTCCCCATTTCCCAGAAGCATTGCAGCAGTATGGTCCCTTCTAGTGCGTGCCGCCCACTTTAGTGTAAGCAGAAAGCTTGTTATCGATCACGTTATTGATAGTTTTCGTTCTTCATTCTTTGCTGTTTGTTGTTATGACTTCCTGACTTACTCATGTGGCTATGTCCCCGGAATGGTATGTGGCAGAAGTGATGTGAGGCCAGGCCCATGTCTCCCCCAGTCTCTATGGACACAATAAAGCCCCATGTAGCTGGAAAATGCTCAGGGTAGTGGTATTCAGCTTTGGGTTCTCTGTCTCTTTTGGACAAGTTAAAAAGAAGAAGAAGAAGACAATGAAAGAAAGAAATTCTGTCTGGAAACTATTCTTATTCTGCCTCATTTTCTAAACAACCTAGCTAGAATATAGCTTTTTCTCCTGAGGTATGAGAGAGAATTAATATATAGTAAGTGACAAAGATAGTGTTGAAAATGGTGTCAGAACAAATCAAATTGTTTCCACTTAATGCACAC